ATTTGAATAGCTGATTTGATAGCAGAGTAAGTTCTCCAGAGTACTTGCATTTTAATTGCCTGAGCCGTACTGCGCAGACACAGATGAGGGGCAGCTTTCAGGATGTATCAGCATGGCATGGAAAACACTGCCTGTTTGAATGAATCTTGAGGGTCTCAGTTGTGTTCCTTCCAACTAGGGAAAGTCTTACTAATGGCTGATAACAGTTGAAAGTTCACTCATCTGCTTGCTTTTAATCAAAATGCTGTTGTAAAAAAACTCCTTCCTTCCCCCCCCCCCCCCCCCCCATTTTTCTGTTTTCATCAGCTTTCTTGGTAAGGAATAAACAGCCAAGTTTACCACCTGGTTAGTAAGCATTTGCAACACCACTCATTACTTATGGCATTAAGGACTAACATGGCTAATATAAAGTCATAATTTCACAGCAGTTACCATGAAATAGTACCTGGATTATCACAGTATGGCTATGTGGTTCTATATGTAATGTTTTCATTTGTTAACTGTGAATTCTGAGTGATGACTTCTCCGCATATTTCTTTGTGTTCTGTAGACCTCACAGCACCTCTGAACTATGAGAGTCAAAAGCACAGTATTATGGTTTAATTTATGGATGATGGAATATCAAATGTTAACTGACTTCCCAAGTTCGTCATCTTTGTCTGCTTGGGTTAGAGCACAGTATTCTTAATTTCAGATTGTTTACTCTGACCGTATAGCCTCAAAATAGGAGACAGATTTTAAAATGCATGAAAATAGCTGGTTTCAGTTTAGAGTAATGTCTCCTGAATTAATCTTGATAATTAATCACAAAATTTTTCCCTTTTTGGAGGAGTAGATTTCATGCTTCCATTCCCTGAGCTCAGATTTTAACAGCATCAGACTTAATTCCAGAGCTTCCTTATTTTCCTTACAGAGTGTGATGTGCTAAAGTATCCCTCTCTCTGTCAAGTCTTACATATATTTGCTACGGACAGGAGAATTCTGAATGAGGAGTAAGTCAACATGCTTCATTTAATTCATAATCAGAAATAAAATTGGCACGCAAACGTAAAATGTTATGTCAAGGTGAAATAGAGAAAATCCGTCTTGTGGGGGCCATTGCAATCTGCAGTTAAAATGCTTTCTATAAGTTCCTCTCGACTGCCAGATACTTTTTAAGAAAAAAAGAGGCTAACATTTCATATATGGACTTCACCATATTTTTGTGATAATGCATGAGGGAGTTGCAGCCATTGCATGTTGTCCAGCTCTCATGATGAAACAACATTACAGGTATTTATGAGGTACTTTTTTTTTAGTTTTATTTTTTAATGAGCCATAGATATTAATATAGTTTTAAATAGATTTAACTTGAGGACAAGTCTTAAGCTTACACTTGTGAAGGGTGATGACTGGAGATTATGCTGTGGTTCTGAATTCTTAGATAACTGGACTAGTAGAAGAGTTTGTAGCTTGTAGGGAAGAGATTTATTCTTTGCACTGAATCTTAACATTTTGGCTTGGCTTCTGTTTTTATATCCCTTTCAGGTAGACAGATATAAATGTGATGAAGTAAAGAAAAACAAAAAACAAAACAAAACCAAAACTAATCTATTTACAGAAAGTCCTTCTGAATCTAGACTTCAGATTCCTTAAAATGTTTTTCCAATCCTCCTTACTATTTGGAAATTCAAGGTATATATAATTCTGGAATAGTTAAGGTGAAACATCTTGGAACAAGAGAGAGAACAGCATATTTCTCACCCTACATAACATGAATAATTCTCAGCTCTACAGGATCTAAGCAAATTTCACTGACTTTTACCTGTTGTAATGAGCTACAGCCAAAACTCCCTTTTTGGACTGAACCATAAATATATAGTGTAATGTAGTGGTAGCCTTGCTGGCAGACAGATGGTCAGATCCTCCCCAAAGTATTGGCATCCTTCTAATTGGAAAGCGAATGGGAATCTCATTAGACAAAGAGATATGTTTGCTTCTTTAGCTTAATAGTAGTTACTCTCTTACCTGGATGCAGAATTGAGTGAAGTAGAATGAAAGGATCAGTGAAAGTATGCTAAAAAGTCTTTACGGAGGTCTCCTGAAGGCATTACAGATTCAGCGACTTCAGAACGCATAAAGAACTATTCTAAAACAACTCCGGTAGGTGTCTTGCCCACTCTGACTAATAGAGTTTGAAGTACTAGCCTGCTGTTCGCAGTAACATTTGACAGATTTGGATTGCCATCCCCAGTTACTGACAGAACAACCTAAAACCCCCAAATTCCTGTCCTGAAGGACCTTCTGCCAGATTTTATGGGTTGTTTTGCTGTTCACGTGGCATAAATGAGAGATGCATACCAGAGCTGACATAAAACATGCGAAACCATAAAAATTAAAATGAATATTTTAATGCAAAACCACTAAATACCACTAAACTAATTCCATTCCATTACAGTTGCCAAGACTTGGCTTTCAGGTAGACAATGTAGTAAGCATTACTGTGATCAAATGAAACAGT